CGGCCAATCTCATCGTCACTGAGAAAAATAACTCTAGTGGGTGCAATTGCAGACACTCAGCAAGGGATGGGATAACAGCACAAATATTGTCATTCAGAGGAATGAAGACCCGGAGCCAATAGTCTAATTTGTCTACTCCCTTCACCTTGCTGAACTCTGTGGTTTTACGACTGACACCAGGAGCTATTGTGGCTAGGATCCCACCAGTGCAAAGCTGATCTGAAGAGAAAGCCTGTAGCCCTCAGTCAGGTTTCCACGCCCATCGCCAAACTTCACCCTGCCTTCCCAGCCTTTAATTATGACTTCCTTAACGTCTCTTTGGATTGGGACCCTGTCACTTGCATGCCACGAATCCCAGGGAAGCATCCATTTACCTCTCCAAAAGTCTTTGTTGGCCTTGTACTGTGCAGTTTGCCTTTTTCTTTCCAGAGGAGGAGCTGGCAAACAATGGACCATGGGACAAAGTCGACAGCCTTCTGTGTTTGTAAATAAAGCTTTATTGGAACAGTCTCATCCACTTGTTTACGTCTCCTTAGCTGCTTTCCGCATCGCAGCGGCACAATTGAGTAATAGTGACACAGGGCACATGGCCCGCAAACACTGATATTGTTATCATGTAGCCCTTTACAGAAGTTTGCAAACTACTGTTCTAGAAGAGATTTGCCACACGTTCTCTCTGGCTGGTCTCAGCTTCCTACATGTGGGCGACTCCCTACTGATTCCCTTGGCTCTGACCCCACTCCTTTTCCTTGGGATGCCTGAATGTCCTTTCTTTCTTGAATGTTCTAGAACTCCTAAATTCATGAGTATCAAACTCAAACCCTTTCTTTCTTTCTTCTTTCTTCTTCTTCTTCTCCTCCTCCTCCTCCTCCTTCTCAGTCAATGGTGCATCCCTTGTATCCAGTCACCCCAACTAGACCACAGCTTAAAACTCATCCTTCTTCCTCCCTGCCATGCCTCCCTCCTCGGTTGCCCTTCATAAGCTGCCTTCTCCCCCTGTCTTCTTTATGTCCTCTCTTGGACCACAGCAGTCTCTTAACGTTTGTCAATCCTGGTGTTTCTCCATTTAAACAAACCTCCCCTGGCTTCTATGGTTCCTTCACAGCACCCGCCAGTGCCAACCTAAGTGACTCCATGCCTCCCATCTAGACTTCTTCATGCAAGACCCCCCAACCACCTGGTTTTGCTAGTCACTTTAACTTTAATTTGGGGGCAGGGTACGCTTTCAGGGTTCTGTGTCCGAAAGTGCCACCGGAGTTGCGTTCAACCCGTCGTGGATTAAAAATATTTGGGAAGGATGTTTGTGAACTAAACAAGTCCAGACTTTCACTGTCTGAAACGATTCCCTACACCGCAAAGTGTAGCAAACAGGCCCAGAGCTCTCACTTTCTGTTGGTGATCTTACACAGAAGTGATGTAAGGAATGTGAGAGGATGTGCATATGTCATAAATAAATACCACGCCACTTCGTGTAAGATTCCACACATGGGCTTCAGAAATGGCCCAGTGTTTTTTGTTTGTTTTATCTTTATTTATTTATTTATTTATTTTTTTGCTGCTCTTGCAGAAGGTTCATTCCTCAGTAGCCATATCAAGTGGCTTACAACTGCCTGTAACTCTGGGTCGGATCCCCTCTTCCCGTGTCTTTGGGAACCCACCCGTATGTGGCATGAAGACGCTCATGCATACATTCGAGCACACAAACACACACATTTTTTTAAAAAAATTCGTATATGAGAAGAAGAACATATCATATTTGTCATATGCGTCTGGCTTACTTTACTTAACATGATCATCTCTGATTCCATCCATTTCACCTGCAAATGACATAATTTCACTTTCTAGACGGCTGAATAGAAGGCTCCATTTTGTGTACATAGTGTGTGGCATCTGAATCTTTAAAATTTTGCTTTTTCAAACCAGTGAGTAGGAAGTGGTTGTTGCTGAAGGTTTCAAGTTTTCTCCACCCATTGTTGAGATTAAAATATTTTGCCTTATTATTATTATTATTATTATTATTATTATTATTATTAACCATTCATATTTTTCTTAGGAGAAAAGATGACTGTTTTATATTTTGACTACTTTTCCACTGGGATAGCTGCAATTTTTTTTCTTCTTAGCCTACAAAAGCTACTTGTCTATGCTGGCTACAGAATTCTTTTGGCAGTTGTAGGTGTGACAAATATGGACTGTCAGTGCCTGTTTCCCTTTATACTGTCCACTGATGTATAAAAGCTCTCGACTTTATTGTAATTATATATCAAATTTCCCTCTGTGGTTTGTGTTTTTGTATTTATTTAAAGGTGTCTTGTTTTTCCTTTTTTTTTTTAAGGTTATAGGTGGTAACAGCCAACATTTACTGAATACTTCAGCATTTTTTTATGTTCAGTGTTAAGTGCTCATCTCCCTTTTAGAATTGGTTTTGCAACTTTACTTATTTTTATTTTACCTCAATGGGTATTTTGCCCATGTGTATGTCTGTATACTACGTGCGTGTGCTACCCTCAGGGACCAGAAGAGGGATTTGTATCCCCTGGGACTGATGTTACAGAGGGTTGCTAGCTGTCACGTGGGTAGTGGGAATTGAACCTGGGTCCTTTGGAAGGGTCAGTCAGTGCTCTTAACCGCTGAGCCGTCTCTCCTGTTCCTTGTCTCTCTTTTATGAAAAGGACCGAAAGGCTCAAAGAAATGATGCAACTGGGCAAAAAAAACCACACAGCAAACAAGCAGTCATTAGGATTGGAACACAGGCAGTCTGCCAAGCTTCTGTTTGGAGTTTCCTTCCTACATTATTGTCACAAAAGTAAGGCCTCTGCCATTCTCTTTAGAGTCTCCGGTCTGGAACTCACTTGCATATAGGAAGTGAGTCTCTGAAAAGGTTCTTTACCTCCGACCCTCCACTTACCATCTGTGAGAAGCTTATTGTAAACAAACAAAAAAACAAAAACAACAACAACAAACTGATGTTAACTGAGTCTTGCTAAAGATGCTTTTAAAGTTTTATTAATTCTGCAATTAAATGACCCCAAATAAGAGGTGCCAAATGGAACCCACTCTTCAAGTGTTAGGTGAAGCCTGGTTTCAAATGGTGCCGTGCCAGGATTAACAGGAAGTCAGTCCCAGACCGTAGCACCGAGGACGGGGAGGCTGACCACACCCGGTAAAAAAACGAATGGGGTACCCTACCCCCCCTCCCCCAAGGAGCCACAAGAGGCAGAGGCCATCAAAGCAGGAACAGTCTCCGAAACTCCACCTACACCACCGGGACAGAAATAGTTCACACGCATCCCTGCTGCCTCCTGTGAACCCCTGTGGGAAGGAACTCTGGTCACGAATTGCTTTCCAAACACCCCCACAACACTAGGACAGCAAGCCGTGACAGCAGCAGCATCTTGGAACCTATTGATCGACTAGGCGACGTAGGCTCCGCATCTCATCGTTTTCCCCCACCAAGCGCTTTCTCCAAAACTGGAGGCTTTATAACGAATATGAAGAAATCGGGGCTGATTTTCTAAGTTAGGAAATAAAGGGGAAGGAGGCGCGTGCGGCAGATTATGGGGGCCTGAAGATAACGGTGAACGTTATTGCCTGGTGGGGGGGAGGCATCGAGGCATAGAAGGAAGTCGATCTGTTTAGTATTTTTGCTTGCTAGAGACTGCGTGCCTACTTACAATCTGGCTGACAGAAAATACTGAAGGGTGATGGTGCCAATTCTGCTGGCTCCCCTCTGCCACCCCGCCCATGCTTGTTCTTTTCCTTCTGGTAGAGCTCAAGTCCTACTCCACAGGCTGGAAATGCCCAAGAATCACTTGCAGGTAAAATCAGGCACGTGACCTGTTCCCGGCCAATGGGGTCAAAGGAGGAGGAATGATGGGTTGTGGAAGTTGGAGATTCTGGGGGAAAAAACCAAACACGTTTTCTTGTAGAGGGTGGGTGGATAGCAGGCGTGGCAAAGCAGAATGGAGGTGACATCATAGAATCACATGACAGGGCATGGAGGGCCTGCTTAGCCTGCACAAGGCAATGGGTTCCATTCCTAGCACCATAGACTTATGAAAACAATGGGTGTTTTTTTCCTTTAGGATGTTCATTTAAAATAAACTAGTTTCTTTAAATTGAGCTACAATTATTAATTGTGTGGACTCAACACTCTGGTTACCCAAGCAGGGAACAATGCAGCTGTCCCTATGACTTCCCTTGTTTTTGTGGAATCTGAAATGTCTTTTTCACACTTTCCTTGTCTCTTTTACATATTTCCCCTAAGAAACCATCACAGCCTTCGCCCAGGTCCCAGCTAGACTGGATTCTATTCTTGAATCTCTGTCCCCCCTCCCCTCCTCTTCCCTCCCCTCTCCTCATCTTCTCTCCCCCCCCCTCTCTTCCTCTCTCTCCTCTCCCTCCACCTCTCTGGAAGTCAAGCCTCAGAAGCTAAAGTGTATTGCTTAAGAAGAATCCCAGGGCACCCTGTAAACAAAAGAATTCCAAATGCAGACGCTTCAGGCAACAGCACACACACACACACACACACACACACACACACACACACACAATCATAGAACTCTCAAAGTGAGAGATGCCCGCAGAGAGATCCTTTGTAGTGTGACACACAGAGTTCCAAACTGGTCAGACCAGAATAGCCCGTATGAGCTCTTAAGGTTCTTCTTAGCATTTCTGTCCTAGCCTAAATCTTTATATATAGCAGCTGGCAACTTTTTTTCCAGCCGTCTCTGTGAACCCATCTGACAGAAAGCCCATCCAGTCACCATGTACACATCTGGGTCCTTCAGCTGCCATGGGTGTCCCTTCTCTATCCTGTGGATATTCCTAAGGCTCGGTTAGTTGCTGGGCTCCTAAATCCCACACTGCTCACAATACTGGGGAGAGAAAGGGGGGATCATGATCCCCCGCCCCGCAATATGTAGGCCGTGTTAGACCTTCTATTAGCGAGAAGTGGGATTGCCAAGGGCGATGGTCACTCTTTGGGTCGACCGATGGCTCCTTTGCTCCGTGCACTTGGACAAACATTCGCTGGGCGCACAGTAGCTCCCGGAGGCGGAAAGCAATGACCTCATCCTTGCGCTGACAGGTGTGGACACCCGAGGCCGAGCAGGGAGACGCCCGCAGCTAGGCCGAGCCCGACCGCACCTGCGCGCCCGCGGGAACCGGGTGCCCGCGCCCTGTCACTGGGCAGGAAGTGGCCTGGGCTGCGGAGGAGCGGCGGGGGAGCGGGGGTGGCGCGGTACCGGAGCCCAGCGCGCGGAGCCAGTCCTCATGGCGGTCACCGAGGACGACCCCTCGGCCGTCCTGGATGAGCTGTCTCGGAACTTCACCTACTGGGAGCCGGGCCCGGGCAACGGCTCGCTGTCGAGCGCCTGGTACCGCAGGAACCAGGTAAGGCCGGCCGCCCGCGCACCAGGGCGCAGCTCCCTCGGCGCAGGCCCCGCAAGAGGCTCCAGGCCTCAGCCGCCGCCTTCCTGCCAGCTCTCCGCGCGGGCCACAGCGGCCTTGCGAGTGGGCAGAGCGACATGTGACACCGCCACACGTTCATCTCCCTCCCTCCCTCCCCACTCAGCCGAGCTGCCGACCCCCAGATGCTCCCCGCCTCACTCGTGGGCCTCTGCTCCCCACCCCACCCCCACCTCACCCTGGAACCTTCCCTCCCCTCCTGCGAGGATCTGAGGGCTATGGGGAGTGGCTTTCTACTTATTTATTTTCACCCCAGGTTCCTTTCACAGTTAAAAGAGAGGGGGAAAAAAAAGTGACACCTTTCTCAGAAGCAGAAACCCATTAAGGGCCTCCCAAATGTCAACTCTGCAGAGTTGTGTCCCTAAGGTCTCAGCATAGCCCTTCCCTGCGAGAAACACTGGTATTCTCGGGCTGTGGGTCTTCATCGCGCTTGCCCTTTGGGAAAACAACACTGTCAGCCTAAACAACACGGGTTTATGCTGGAGAATATGAATATATATATATATATCCTTTTTGATGCTCATATATATAGATTTATTTTTGGATGGCCTCAAGATCAGGGAGAGGAGAAAAAAGATCTTCCCTAGTCCTGCCCTCTAGCAATGTTCATTTCCTTTCAAGTGGGGCAAGTGAGCTTTCATGGGGTAAGCTTCAGGCTTCCAGTTTTCCTAAGCCTGTTACTTTGTTCTTGCACAGTAACAAAGCCATGGACCTCTCTCTCTTTTACAAGAGTGAAGCCTTAAGACTTTGTTACTCTTGTCCTAAGTGTGGGGTTTGAATCACTTATCAAAGGGTTAGATCCCTTTGGCGCTTGAAAATTACCTTGAATGTTAACTTCTGAACTCAGAGGTGATTTGTATAAGGAATAAATAAGCCTAGTCCACCTTATTAATTTTGCTTTAAGTCTGTTTTGTCACAAAAATGTAATAAAATGGAGAAGAGGGGCTTGCTGGGAGGCCTATCCCATTTCTCCTTGCTTCTGCCCGTAGAATTGCACAAAACAGACGTTCTTTCCATGGAGACTTCCTCAGTATATATTATGCTTGTAGTAGACAGAATCCCAATAAAAGTTTAAGAACAAATGATCTGCTCTTGATAAAATTATTAGATGTGACCAACCATGGCATCATTCATAACAGCAAATCGTTGTTCTCACAGACACAACTTATGCAGTCCTTTTGTCTTCTTTGACACTTCCTGGGATTCTTGATTGCTTTGGCTCTCCCAAGCACAGATTATCATGTGACATCAATGTTTACAAGGCTAAACTTGCCCTGGATAGTACACAGTTGTACAAGTCAGAAAGGGTGTACCCGGAACATGCTAATTGGCACTACTAAACTGACATCTCTACTCTTGCTGGTTTGAGATAAGGCTATGCCTGCTTTTCCCATGAGTGTGGAGAGTTGGGTCATATCCTTTTTTTTTTTAAACATACTAATCCTGGTTCCCCCTCCCTCCCCTTCTCCCACCCCCCCTACCTTCCCCTCATCTCACCCCCTACCTGCTCCTCAGAGAAGGTAAGGCCTCCCATGGAGAGAGAGTCAATGACTTCTGGAATTCTGTCCCACACCACACTGAGGCAGGACCAGCCCCCACCACCCCCATGTCTAGGCTGAGCAAGATATCTCTCCATGGGAAATGGACTTCAAAAATCCAGTTCACTCATTAGGGATGGATGCTTCCACTGTCAGTGGCCCCACAAACTGCCCAAACCTCAATCAGAGGGCCTAGTTGGGCCCTATGCAAGTTCCCCAGCTGTCAGCCTGGAGTCAGTGAGCTCCCTGACTAGCTAGGGTCAGCTGTTTCTGTGTTTCCCCATCATGGCCTTGACCCCTTTGCTCCTCCCTCTCTTCCACTGAACCCCCGAAGCTTGGTCCAGTGGGCAGCTGTGGATCTCTGCATCTGTTCCCATCAGTTACTGGATGAAGGTTTTCAGGAGATGCTGTCTATTTTCCCCTTCCTAGACAGATCCGTGTATATCTCTCTTAGGGTCCTCCTTGTTACCTGGCTCCTCTGGGGTTGTAGCCTGCAGGCTGGTTGTCCTTTGCTGTAGAGTTGGGCCACCTTATGAGCCATAATATTCTATCCTTTTGCTAGCTCCTGAAAAGGTAATTGCCTTTGTTTCAAGGAAAAGTAAAAATTGAATTTTAAAACACCATTCAACAAACATTGTCGCAAGTACCACTAGTGCTGCCTAGGACAGTAAGAAGTAAAAATGGAATGTAGCCTCCCCCTTTGACACTGACTGAACAGAAAGATGGCTGAATATGGGATGGAGCTCCAAACAAAACAAGTGTGAGATCTGAGTCCCCAAGCCTCCCACAGTCATAATTAGCACTGAGGACAATCGGCAGGCTAGACCTGGCTGTTTGATGTTCCCACTTGGGGAAAAAAAGTGCCCTGTTATGGAAGTTTAGATGTGTTGAGTTCTACCGGCCTGGTTTATATTGTGTTCACACATTTTCAGTGGGAAGGGCTAATGTTCTTGAGATGTTTGCTGGGCTTGCTTTGTGTGTAAACGACTGTGGGCCCAAATATTTTTAAAAATGTGTTATGTATACAATGTTCTGTCTATATATAAGCCTGCATGCCAGGAGAGGGCACCAGCTCTCATTACAGATGGCTTTGAGTCACCATGTGGTTGCTGGGAATTGAACTCAGGTCCTCTGAAAGTGCTCTTAACCTCTGAGCCACCTCTCCAGCCCCCAAATGTTTCTCTCAGGAATGTTATTAGGTGACTAGGAAGGTGTATGTAACTCCTAAACAGGGATCTGCAGTGTGGTGTTGATGAAATAAAAGCCTATGGACATCTCAGCCAGGTAGCCTGGTCAGGGATACGGTTGAGGAGAATGGTGTCTCAGGCGGACACTTTCAGATGGTCGGGAACATACAGGTGGAGGCCATTCCAGGAAGTGAAACCCTGGGAACAAGAAGCAGCTGTGTTTTCTAGAAATTCCCATGCCTAGAGTCTGGTCCAACGCATGTGGTTCTTATGGGAAATGGAGACTATAATGTGGGACTAGGGTGTAGGACCTTGGGTCTGGTCCTGGATTGCCTTAAAGGGAGAATAAGGAAGTTAAGTTTTTATCTAACAGATGGTCAGGAGCCATGGAGGTTTTTGTTTTGGTTTTTGGTGTGTATGTGTGTGTGTGTGTGTTTTGAGCAGACAGTGCAAAAGTCAAAGCAAATTAAATTTCAGACCATCTAAACTAGGCTAACAGGAGGCAGAGGCCTCAAACTGGCCAGATGTGGACTAAACCCGGTGCATAGATTATGGTGTGTCACGTTTGACCTTTACGGACATTTAAAAATGTTTAATCCATTGCCAGCATTTCAAGATAGAGATTAGCTGGAGCTGGAGAGATGATGACTCAGCCCTTAAGAGCATTTACTGCTCTTGCAGAGGTGGTGGTGGATCCAGTTCCCAGAACCTACAGGATGGCTCGCAAGCTCCTGCCTGTAACTTCAGTTCCAGAATATCTAGTTTCCTCTTCCGGCCTCCATGGGCTCCTATATGCATATATTCATGAAGGGTCATATGCATACAAAGTTTAAAGATGAGATTTAAATGGTTCTTAAGGTTAAAACTGTATCTTAGTTTGATGTTTACTATCTAAAAGTCTTAAAAATTCCCCCGCTTGCTCATACATGTATACATACATACCTCCCTTCGATTATATAAATAAAAGCCAAAGGTCAATGCTGAGAACCTTAAAGAAGTCCATTTACCAAAATACAAGGATATGATTCAGATTTTCTTTTTCTTTTTTTTTCTTTTTCTTTTGAATTTAAAGAGGTCATCTCCCATCATAAAAAGCACCCAAGTGTAGTTGGAAGTTTTTCTCTGTCTCTCCTGGTCCCGCTGGGCTGATTTCTCTCCCGACCACTGGGACCCCCCACATCTGATTATGAAATAACACTTGGAGGCTTAATATCAGTTACAATTGTCTGGCCAATGGCTCAGGCATATTACTGGCTAGCTCTCTTTTATTAATTGACCTATTTGTATTAGTCTATGTATTGCCACAAGGCTGTGGCCTACCGGCTCCAGCATGTTGCCCCATTGGCGACTACATGGCCTCTCTCTGACTCTGCCTTCTTTCTCTACGTAACTCTGTCAGAATTTCCCATATAGCTATGTTTTGCCTGGCAGTTGGTCAAAATGGTTTTATTCATGAACCAATAAAAGCAACACATATTCGCAGCATACATACAAAAGGACAACCCATTAAACCTGTTTGCTTGACCTTTCTAGTTAAAGTTTTTCAATTATTTATTTTTATTTTATGTGCATTGGTGTTTTGCTGTGGGTGTCGGGTCCCCTGGAATAGCACTGAGCCATCTCTCTAACCCCTTTTTAGTTAAGTTTGGAAGACATTTGTTGAGCTGTCTGGACTATTACATCCCTGTAAAGTTACTGATACATAGTGAATTTCATTTAAATGGTGACATGCTGTCATTTAAATTGGGAATTAAGGTTGTGTCTCAAGGAATAAATTTTGAAAACGAGATTAGCTACAACATTCCAAGTTTCCACCATCTCCTTAGACATTAGGTGTTCACACTCAGGCCCAAGGACATATGAATGGGTAAAGCACTTGCCTTGCAAACAGAGGACTGGGGTCTGGGTCCCAGAATCCATGCAAATGCTAGGTGGTTGTGATGGTTTCCTGTAACCCCAGCACTGTGGAAGCTGAGATTTCACCAGTGAAAGCAAGATAGGAACACTAGCAAAACCAGCAAGTTCCAGGCTTGAGCAAAACACCATGAATCCACACATAAGGCAGAAAGTAGTGAAGAAAGGCATTCAGCGTCAACCTCTAGCCTCTACACGAACATCACACACACACACACACACACACACACACACACACACACACACACACACACACACAGCACACCACGCATAAAATACACACGCA